ATAAAGAAACAAAGCTGTAAAGCAAGTGCCATTTTAGAACATGCAGTCATGCACTTAAAATCTCTTCAATATGTGAGTACTGCACACAGTTTCCACTGCTCTAAGCATGTCTGCATTTATAATGGAGTATCAATAATAGTGATACTGCTTAGTCTTTTAGAAAGTTTAAAACAAAGCCATAAGAGAACCTAAAATATTCATCCATTGACATGGTTACATGTAATCAATAAATTGTAAAACATGTACCTCATCAGTCAGCTCATCTCCCCTCATTTGCATTCTTGCAATCTCTGATCTCATGCGGTCTTCATCAGACATGGTGAAGACAAAGTAAAGTCCTGAAAAGATACTGTATATAAGTCCTTATTACTGTTAGACTATAGAAAGATTATGGCTGTAAACACTGCAATTATTTCTGGAATTTTACTTTATCTCAACGAGAAGAGTTTAAACTTTTAGTTTTTGCGTATTTTCTTCAATGCTTTTTCTATTATTTTTGTAAATTTGTCACACAAGTGTTACAAAGTTTACAAATTACAAAGTCTAAAGTAATTCAGATTTGTAACAATACTAACTAATATAGCAAGGAAACCTCATAGACAGTAAAATCTAATCGACAATGGTATAAAGAAAAAATGTGGTATACTTAAAGGGTAAATTAGTGTTACCAGCTAACTCATGTTGAGAAAAAAACTGAAGAAGCTTTATTTTATTGCACAAGTCACATGTGCTCAATGTAGTTCATCTGCAATATGACAGCCTTTGGTAATACATGTGACAGCATTTTTTGTTCAGATATCTTTTGTCTGATCTGACCACAGTTAAAAATTTATGGGCAATGGGCCAAGTTTAAACGTAGACAGTTTTAATCTCGTCAGACATTAACTGTCCCATGATCAAATTACACTTTTCATGTGCTCTCCACACTTGCAGAGAGTACATGTATACATTATTATTTGGGCATCACCCAGATAGAGTAATCGAGATTGCTTGTTTTGATTCAAAGTTGCAATAGGAATGTAATACATGTGAACGTAAACAAGCCAAGCGACACAACTAGAATGTCTGCTGCGCAATGTGTCACAACACAGCATTTATATCCTCATTTCATATGTCCCACAGATAACACACGGTAAACAAATCGGCAACAGAAATCAAATGAATTGAAAACACAAGGTACAGCTGTATGTTGAGTGAAACAAACTATTAAATAATTTAAATTTTCCCTTTGGAAAATAATAATTATTATTATTGTCCCTGCCACACACAGCGTGAATGGTTTTCTTCCAGACCATAGGTACCGGCCATTGCCCTTTAATTTTAATCGTAAAGACTATTCATTGCCAGTAAGGACATGTCCTCTCAGAGGAAGATTTTTTGCTCAGAAAATATAAACTTATAAACCTTAAGGTTATGGTATTTTTTATCTTACCTAGAAGCCGGGCAATTTTTCAGAAATTTCTAGGTAAATCTGTAAAAAAAAAGTTGGAATTGACAGGTTTGGCTTATTGCCAAGAGTTTGACAATATTTTTGCCCTCAGTTGTCAAGAGACAAAGAAGATGTCACGCAAAATTCTGCGAGCGTGCATGAGATAAATAAGGGTAACCATGGAATGATCCATAATTTCATTGCAAATTTTCAGAAAGGAGGTGATTTCTTAAAATCGTATTGAGCAAAATGATCTCGTAAACAAGTTGCATTCTTTCACATTCGAAGCGTAAAAGGGGCAAGGTCCAACCTCTTCATGCGCAAACTGCATTTGTGACAGTTATTTTTAAAACCCTTGGGTTAATAAGATTAAGTCATGAACTACAAAAGTGGCAAATTCCAAAGCTTTCATGTGCAAACTGCATGACAATACGAGTCACAGTAAGGGCCTGATCACATGACCCAGGCTGGCTAGCTCTGCCAAGTTGACTTTTATCCCGGTACTACATGAAAAGGGCCAACCCAGAGCTGCCATTAATATTTTTTTTGTATTGAGATTGGAAGTAATGCCCATGAGCAGTGTGTTACACACTGTCCTGTTCCCCTCTTGGTTCATTTGCCGGGCCACCCAGCAAACGTGATCACTTGGAACATTTCCACCTGGGATCCCAGCATCACAACACTGGGATCCCAGCTAACCAGGCTGGCTTGGTTTTCATATAATCGCAATTTTGATTTTTGCTGGCTTACCTAAGGTGCAGAGATCTCTTTAATGCAAGCCAGTTTGGCTCATGTAATCAGGCCCTTAGTCCTATAGGCATAGCCAGATTGTATGCCCTCCTCCTTGACCTCACCAATTTTTCACAAAATTTCAGTACCCCCCCCCACCTTAGCATCTTCTTACCCCCTTCTCTATATTCTCTCCATACAAATATTATCAAAAATAACTGAAAAACACTCCAAAACAGAAAGCCTAACAACGTTCAAAATAATTACAAGTATGTTTTCGACCATTGACAAGATCTTTCACAACCCTTCATTTCAACACACTGCAACTACACTATCCCCTCATACCAAACTAACACTACTACGCCATCAATCTTTGGCTTCGAAGGGTAGGCGTTGCCGGTAAATAAATATAACTACCTCACTGCAACATCTTTTTTGTTACTTCATACTAAATTCTAAGAGAAACCAGGTTCACTGATTAACAAACTACAGCCATCTTACCAAATCCGAGTCCGATGTAACTCCAAACTTCCACTTCACATATCCAAACCAACCCCTAAAATATACGCTAAGTACTGCACTACTCACACTTCCCTAATAGACATAAAAAACTTCACACATGCTTAGTACATTGATGCCCAAATACTCTCTCCCACGACGTCTTGTTCACTATATGCATAATATGAACCAGTTCTCATGTCATATATATTCTTTGAAACAAACCATTGTTTGTAAAGAGTGTGAAATTCCCCAAAGTTAGATAACTGGCCCCTACATATAATAATTATTATGATTTTCAAATCTTTAAGTCATGAAATTCAAAACAGTGGAAGTATCAGTTTGTGTGACAAAAGACTTAAAAAGTTCCTTCTTTCTTCTATAGTCGCTAAGTTATACTCTTTTTGAGCTACATACTTTGTTTTCTTTTTTTCTTTAATTTTCATAATAATCCATTTTTTTCATTCAGTACCCTTAATCCAAAGAGTGTACCCAATAATATTGTCAGGAAACCCTGGCTTCTTTATAGGCTTCCTTGCCATAACCATCTCAAAGATTTTCAAAATAGAATAGTAACTATTCTCTTTAATATGTATGTATGTATTTAACAATCAATGAATGAGGCTGAGTATCTTATAAAGAATTATGGAGGAGGGTGTTATCCACCCTACGAGATCTCCATAGACATATGATATCAAAGCTGCATTCAATAATTGTTTTATTATTCATTCAAAATAATTCCTAGTTTAAAAACATAGCTAAAACATGCTTACCTCCATCGATGTTAAGTTTATCTTCGATAGTGTAAGTTTAGGTTTCTCCAGTTCTGCAAATATTCTCCAAATTGCAGATGTTGCCCTCGGAGTTGCCTTCTTGCTGTTTAGGTTTAAGTTTAGGTTTCTCCAGTTCTGCAAATATTCTCCAAATAGCAGATGTTGCCCTCGGAGTTGACTTCTTGTTGTTTTTGCTACATTGTGTATGTTTTTAGCTATTATTTCGCCTAGTTCTAGCTGTAGTTCTTACTCTTGAAACAAGCGAAGCGACGGTCATTTTTGTTTTCACAACCAAAACAACTCAACTGTGTTAACCTGTAGCGGGCTGCATTTTTGACGTCATTTCCTCGGTAAACACAAAATTCTTCCAAATTTGGTCATCAGTAACTGGTTGTGGTGAATTATGCGTGTGCTTTTAGCAAATCAGAATTGGGGAAATATTTTGAAAGAGTAATAATTTAATTCATTGTGTTTTGTAAATTATAGAATTAATATACAGTTAATGGTTATTGGCAAAATGAATGAATAAAATGAAATGATACAAAGACAAAACTTAAGATTTCTTGCAATTTGTATGTACTTCTTGGGTGGCTGATAAACTGAGAATGCAGTATATATCCAGACAGCCATTTTGATATAAAACAAAGGCCCCTCTGTGTGACATGGCCATAATTAACCATCATTGTTTGGAATGTTTTAAATTTGTTATTTCTAAATAATATAATTGCCCACGAGCAGCCTCGCGAAAATGAGAAAATGTGCTATGTAAAGTCAGGTTTTTCTAATTATTTATGCATTAGAACAGTTTAGTTCACTATTTTCAAGGTAATTTTTGCTTATGCAATGTAATTGAGATCGAGCTATTTTTTGTAAATTACGATAATTCATAACATTTTCAAATAAATTGAACAGCACGTGAATGGGTGAAATCTTTGCTTGTTGGCACTTAGCCATAGCTATTACTAGTTGAATAACGTAATCTTTTTACCCAGAAAGTACTAAGGAGTTCTTAAGAACTTACTTAAACATGTCAGTGCATTCCAGATCAAATAAGAATTTGAAAGCCTTGGTTTTTTAGGAGAGGGGAAAACTGGAGCACATGGTGGAAAACCTTGCAGCAAAGGAGAGAACTTTACTCATATATTCAGGGGTTTCAATAAGCACCGACGGCTGACGAAACATGTCGGCTACCTTGCTCATAGAGGTCAGCTACTTTTTTCTAAAAAGAAGAAGCAACTAGTTTGAATAACATGGTAAACAAAAAATATATCATAAAAACTGAATGAAAATGTAATTATGATGTGTTTTCATAAAGGTCCACTGGTTTTACATTATGCTCTAGTCACGTGAATGCTATATTTCAGTCATATTTTCACAAGTTTCTTTATAGGTTTATGGGGAATTTGTTTACGTGTAAAAGTACATAATTTAGCTTTCATTAACTGTTCATTGCTTGTAGGAGTTGATTGTGTGACTGATAAATCCTGAATAAAAACACGTTCTTTTCCCAGAACGCTGAAAATCACATTTTAGGGCTTTCTAATTTCAAAATTTTCTGGTCTAGAACTTGTTCAGACTCCCTTCCCCCCCACCACTCCCCTAGAAAAAGTGGACCAACTGGCCCCTTGTTGATACAGTCTGTTACTCTATTCAAACCTGCTGGCTACTTCAATTTTTATTGAAACCCCTGTATATTGCAATGTCACTGGGATTCAAACACAGGCCACACTGGTGGGAAGGGAGAGCTCTCATCACTGCACCACCCTTGCACCTTATGTTACACAAAATTGTATATTTGTGAAGGTTATAAACAATGTACAAAACCCTTGGCATGAAATTTCTGACCAGAATAGAAAAAAACACTGGTTTAGCCTACATTTGACCAGTACAATCTTCAATAATAATAATAATAACTTTATTTTAGTGTCAATGTACTGTATCTAGCTTGACAGTTAGCTAATTGATTAATGATTAATTTTTTGATTTCAGAACGCTACTGCAGAAGGGAAATGGTCGTCTAAAATGATAATCGTACCAACAAACGGCTAAAGCAATACCAATGTGCTGAAAATACGAAAACCTTTTGAATATTTAAGATCGAGAAAACCTGTAAACTTCAGATGTCAGTTAGCGGCCAGGGGTGTAATTTCCTCGTGCTTGATCCTGTTTTATGCGGCAAATAAAAAATGCAGGGTGTTTTAACTCCAACAAGAGCCACCAATATTGCGAACAGCTAGTCAAACGACTGCAATCAATGATTTTTACTTTCGTGCCAAATTTTAACCAGCATCAAAAACAAAATAAAATGGTAAATTAACTACAGGGGATTTTATCAGCTATTACGGTACTTTAAAAAAACACTGTCATACCCACCGATCTCTTCCCCACCTCTTTGATATCAGCACAAAAAACGCACTTACCTATCGAAACAAACCGATGACAAAATAAGCCACAGGGCGTCCTTCTCTTCACTCGCAGTATCTTAAAATATTGCTTGAAAAACGAAAGGTATTTCCCTCGGCATTCGCTCCCAGTTGAATGTAGTCTATGTTGTAAGTGCGAGCCCGCGCTATCATTATGACGTAGATGGGTAGGGACGTGGTGTAAGCATCATGTAGTGAAAAACTGTTTGAATGGAGAGGTACAGTACCGCAAATGATCCCCAACCGAATCGTTAAAATTCGCGTTAATTTAAGTCGCGTTCATTTTGTTAAGCGTTAATTTCCGCGACCTTAATTGAGTGCAGCGTTAACTTCCGCGCTCTTAATTTCCAGTATTTTAACCCCAATTTTAAAACCTGTCCAGACATTCTTGACACCTAAAAAACATTAACTACAACCTGTCTTTCTTTGCATTTACCCTTTGTTTTTCATCTTTTTCATCATCACAAAAGCTAAGGCGAAGGTTTACAATATTTCGAGTTCTAGCCTGCGAACGGAAGACGTTTCTCCTCGCTCATCGCCGCTGAGGAACGTTTCGCGAGGAGGAACGTCTGCGACTCAGCGACAGAAATTCCATACTGATAGCGTAAAATCTGTCCGAAATCCGGTCAGAAGCGCTAATTGGTCGACGGAGTAGATTCATTGTTTTAGCTATTGTTTACAAATGACAGACAAAAAACAAAAGGCCGCGAAGGTCAAATGTAAACGCGATGAATCTCTAACAAAACAGTCAATATTTGTGGAATATAGTCTTCTCTAAAAGTAGCATTTGAGTTTTGCTTCAGCTCATTCGCAGATGAACCCAACACTTCACCAAAATCGACCAGGAGAAACGTAAAATTGAACAAACTTGCATTTGGAACTCCATGACTAGCAGATTTATTTATGTAAACATTGATTTACGTCATCAGTGTGGAATTTCTGTCGCTGAGTCGCAGAAAACGTTCCTCCTCGCGAAACGTCCCTCAGCGGCGATGAGCGAGGAGAAACAACTGTCGTTCGCAGGCTATTCGAGTTCATCTTCATCGTTGTCGCTGTCAGAAGTGATGTTAGTATCTTCTCCTTTGACCAACTCTGTCTTAATCACGTTAATTTCCTTTATTATGAAATTCTACCTTCTCTTTCGCGTTAATTTTCTTTATTCGAAAGTCGTTTTCCATTAAATTCGCGTTAATTTAAGTCGCGTGAATTTCCAATACCTTAATTTCATGGAGCGTTAATTTCCTATAATAAGGTAGCCAGGAGCAGAGACCGAAAAATGCAAGTTTCGTTCAACCATCGCCACAGAAAAAGTTTGACACTTAATTCTGGTAGAGAAAGACCTCCTGTTTAATGCTAGGCAGTTCGTAGAGTTAAAATGTGGTATACATTTCGAATTACAGGGCTTTTTGTCACGCGATCTACAGGTCTGCATGGAAACGAGGCAGGTCACAGGTCAGGCCACAGATCAGGTCACAGGCCACAGGTCAGGTCACAGGCCACAGGTCAGGCCACCGGCCACAGGTCAGGTTACAGGCCACAGGCCACAGGTCACAGGTCACAAGCCTCAGGTCAGGTTACAGGTTACAGGACATATGACGAAAAATGTAGTTTCTGTTACTAAACATTACATAGGACTGTTTACATGTTAACGAGTAATCTGTAGTTACATTTGTGTGGCGAGTTTTGGTTACCTAGCAAAGGCTATTTTCAAATAAGTTATTGTCCAATTTCTTCAATTGAGTCATTGACATGCAGCACCAGGAGCCCATCAAATGGTAGCAGTGCCGGCGTTTTCTTGGAGCGCGCAATTTGCTTGCGAAAGTGCCATGTTGAAACTTCCCGAATAGAGGAGGAGATGGGGCTAGTCAAAGGGAGCAGGGAGGGGGCGGGGAGAGAGAAGAGAAAACGCCTGCCCGAAAAGGTCGTCACTTGATTCCATCCACCAAACTGACATCCTCCTCTCACAAGACATTTCACTTTTCTTACATGAAATTTCTTGATGAAATGTTCATAAAGTCAAAGTGTCTTCAATTTTTAAGGAAAAAAAAAAGCAATTCAGGATCAGTAGAATGAGTAGGATTCGAACTCGGAGCATCCGATCTGGAGTGCATCACTCTAACCCTACACCACCGAGGATTTGGTGACGAATACCAGTTTGATTGAAATATATAACCCTAACCCTAACCCTGACCCTAACCCTAACCCTACTTTGTGTACGAATCATTAATGTGTCAACGTCAGTTTGGCGGATGGAATTAAGTGTAGGCCGCCCGAAAACACTGTGAAAATGAGAAACACCCCCTAATTAGACGCGCGTGACCGCCCTTCCGGAAATGAGTAGCCGACAATAACAAAACAACCAAACAGTCGCTCCAGTCCAAAGACTCGCATTGTCTTAAGAAAAACAAGCTGGAGTTTATCATTGTTTTTATCTTGACTGAGTCACAATGCAATTCTTCACAGCTGATGAAGAAAATGCAATTCATTCTTCTAAATTCATCTCCGTAAATCGCTATCCGTGAGAGCTTAACATCCTGCAAACAATTTAAAAAACTAACGAGCTGGGCCCAGCGTGATACAAAATTGCAGGAAAACATCACATTCTCGGACTAGAAAGAAAATCGCTTAGATATTCAGATCCTTAGGCACTTTGGACAAAAATAAAGAACCTAACAGCCTTACTTAGCGACAAAAAGAGCTTTACGCTTCAAAAGAGGTCAAAGAAAACGCTCTTGCATCAGCAGAGGGCAAATCATGAAGACCAGAAATTCAAAAACCACAGAAAATCAATCAGCCTGAAACAAGCGGCTAAAATCACATTAATTTGCTCTGTCAAAACATAGAACCCTCTAGAGCATAATCTATTCGCTAGAAAAAGAACGTATTGGAACAGGAGGTAAAAGTGGCGTAGGTTTTAGTAGTGCGAGCCAATCTTGGCCTGATGACCAGTGTAGAAATCGCTTTGACTTTCTCATTGCGTAGTACACGAGACATTCCCAGCCGCTCCAATTCCAAAAGACTGACATAAACGGAATAAACAATACAGTTTTACAGTTAATTGACAGGCATCAATCTACTTCCTTTTGCCGCACCAATCAGGAGCTCCGTTTGCCAGCGTACGGAGTTTCTCAAAAGAACAATGATATCGGGCAGGCGTATTTTTTTTCTCCCCTCCCCCTACCCCCTTTCCTTCTTTCGCCCTCACACCAACCGTCAGGGTTAATATTTGTACTCTCCCCAATCTTCCACTGTCATAAAATCAAAGATGGCGGCTACAACAATATTACGAACACGAAGAAGGTTTCGCTCACCCAAAATACGCCTGCACTGCAGGCTAATCAGATGGAGCCTCCATCTCCCATACAAGCCCTTGGAGTCAACCTTTCCCGAGTAGATTTATAATTAGAACGGTTCCCAGGGGAGACTTCGCGCGCCGACGGTGGGAAGGGCAAATCACAACGACGAAACGACACTGCTATTGTACTTCATCAAACAGCGGGAAATTTGGTGTTAACAAGCCAAACACAATCATAAGCTAGTGAAACGTGACTTTAGCGTTTTCATCCCTAAGAGATTTTCTTTTTTTTTGCTTTCTAGCGGGTAGATTATACTGTGGACAATTTTAAACTCTGACTATGTAAGCTTAATTTTGGTTGCTTGTCTCACATTAAGAGGCCATGACGCTGGTCTGTTACATGCATAATGATTAACTACTACCTACAGTCTGTAGTTTTGACAGGATTCGTTTTCTTTAGCCAATTTTTTTTTTTAAAAACGTTAAGGTTCTTATTTCGGCTAAATGACTCAATATTAATCAAATTTCTAGTTTTTCAAGGTTTTTTTTCCGAAATGCGTTTATCTGAATAAATACTTGTAGTTCTTGTGGTTGTTTTATCCGTCAGCTAGTGTGATGATTCCCTGCTATGTTTTGTAACGCCGGGCCCAGCCATTATTTTCTCGCAAAAAGTAATCTACAGATGCGAATTCGAAGGAAGGAATTGAGCCTAAACTTCTACATTAACTGCTGAAAATTGTCCTTTTTAGTCAATCATGATTCTTTTTTACAATCCATTTTGTTTTTCTTGAGATAAGTGGGTCTTTGGACTGGAGCGCGATGTCACAAATTCCTCCGTTAGCAAATTACTTTTGAGTTAGCTTCACGGTCGAGCAACTTTTGTCTTCTGTTCAACTTTTCAAGTACCAGTTTTATCAGGTAACTCTCATGGTGAAACAAGTTTATAGGAGAGAACATACGTCTAATTGACAGCGTTGTTAATTACACCGCTACTAAAAATATTCCTGGACTTCTACTTTTCCTTGACTTTGAGAAAGCGTTTGACACACTGGAATGGTCTTTTATACAGAAAGCACTTATTTGTTTCGGATTTGGCCCTTCCATTGTCCAATGGTTTAAAACCTTTTATAACAACACTGAAAGCTGTATTATGAACAATAGCTGGGCAAGCAACTTCATTTCGGTCCACAGGGGTGTCCGCCAAGGCTGTCCTCTCTCTCCTTACCTTTTTATTCTTTCAGCCGAAACATAAAAGGTTTATTAGTTAAGGATACTGAGATTAAATTAAGTCAATATGCTGACGACACAACTTTAATTCTTGACGGTTCAGAAAAGTCCCTCTCTGAAGCCCTAAGGATCTTAGAAAGCTTCGAGAAAGTTTCAGGTCTCAGACTAAACAGTAAAAAGACTGAGGCTCTTTGGATAGGCTCTTGTGCTGGCAAAAGTGAAAAACTGCGCCCAGAAAAGATTTCAACTGGCAAAACACAAAGGTTAAAGTGCTCGGAGTTTGGCTATCAACTGATCCTGAAACTACAATCAAAATTAACTTCGTCGAGAAAATAGAAAAAATGCGGAACTGCTTGGGCTGCTGGTCAGTTCGAAGACTAAGCCTTATCGGGAAAATAACAGTTCTTAAGAGTCTGGTTGCCTCCCAAGTAATTCATCTTTTGTCGCCTCTTCAAACCAATGCTCAAATTATAAAACAATTAAATGATCTCTTTTTTGACTTCCTTTGGAACAGTAAAGGCGATAAAATCAAGAGAAACGTTATCACACAAAATTATGGCAAC